CACCTGGAAGGATGGCGCTTGGATCAACTAAGATGTGAGCACTGTGGGTGAGAGCTTTTAAGGGGAGATGAGGAAGACAATTTTGGAGATGGTCAGTCTCAGAGGCCTGTTAAACACTTACCTGCATGCTGTGGATAACATTAATTTTAAAAATAGGAACCAGTCATACAGCCCTTACTATGTGCTATAACCATTTTACTCATTTAACTCATTTAATCCTTAAAACAACACTATGGGGTGGGCATTATTAATACCCTCCCATTTTCCAAATGAAGAAATGGAAGCACAGAGAAGTTAAACAACTTGACCAAGGTTACACAGCTGGACGTTGGCAGAGCCAGAGTTCGAACCCAGTCAGTGATCCTAGCCACCTTATACCACCAGCTTTCTATAGAGGGCTTTCCTGAGGAAGTGACATGTCAGCAGACACCTGAAGGAGGGGTAGCAAGCCATGCTGACATCTGTGGGAAGGGTGCTTTGGGCAGAGGGAACAGCATGTACGAAGGCTCCAATGTGGGCACAAGCACCCTGTGAGTTTATCCAGCTCCCATCTCTGAGAATATGTATGTACTGTTCTCCCTGCCAGGAGTGCCCTTCCCCCTTCCAGTACTAGATGAACCCTTTATCACACAGTCATCAAGTTCTGGTATCTCCCAGGAAGAATTAATGTGTCTTCCTGTGATCCAATGAGCTGAATAACCTGTTCGTCCTTATAAAGCTGTTCTCTCTGGGTCTTCAGCCTCATACTCCTCTGCCCTGCTCTAGCTGTGTGACCTTGAGCAAGTTACTCAGCCTCTCTAAGTCTGTTTCTGCATCTGTGAAATGGGGATATTTCATTCTCAAGGTAAATTACCCTCAAAATACTCTCAAAGGCTTTTGTAAGGGTTAAATGTCAATATACATAAAGGACTTCGAAAAGCATCTCTAGCACATGGCAGACACTCACGAAATGTTAGCTGTTCCCTAGTGTGTCATCCTTCTCCCTCCCCCCCGGCCTTATGTATCACCATGACCTATACCACCTGGCTCCCATTACATCTCATATCTTGCCTGGTATCCCTCCCTCTACTCTGCTCTAGCTACAATGGCCTCTTTTGTGTGCCTTGAACATGCCAGGCACAATCCTGCCTCAGGGCCTTTGCGTCAACTGTTCCTCCTGCCCAAGATACTCTTCCACTGGGCATTACAGCTCTCTCCCTGACCTCCTTCAGGCCTTAAGTCAAGAGTCACCTTCTAAGTGAGGCCTGCCCTGTGCCTAAGATCTCAACTGCCCTAAATATTCTATTCCTACCTTCCCGACTTAACTTTTCTTCCTTAGTACTTGGCTAACGTACTAGTTTTATTTATTTGTTTTATTTATATGGTCTGTCTCCTCCACTTTTAACAAATGTATGCTCCACAAGGGCAGGAATTTCTGCCTGTTTTGTTCCCTCCTGCATCCCCAGCACCTAGAAGGGTGCCTGGTACTTAGTAGGTGCTCAGTAACTGTTTGTTAAATAAAGAGTCCCAACTAACCTCTTAATTAACTCTCATATACCCTCTTCATCCCCATCTGCCCCCCTACTTGTCCGAAATTATTTTTGCCATTCATTCATGCAATAAATTTGTATTGAGCACCTACTATATACTAGGTATATTTTTAGGTGCTGGCTAAGCAGACCAAAACTGTAGGCCCCCATTGGACTCCTAATGGGGAGAAACAACACAATAAATTGGTAAACTGTAGTGTGATTGACAGTAATAAAGGTAAAAGGGAGAAATAAAGCAGACAAGGGGGCTGAGTCCTTGCTAGCTGTGCAAATTCAGATGGTCAGGGATTAGGTGACATTTGAACAGGGCCCCAAAAGGAACCATGCAGAGATCAAGGGTAAAGTGTTCTGGGCAGAAAAAATGGCCAATGTAAAGGCCCTGGGGCTGGACCACTGTTGTGTTTGAGGACAACTGAGGAGGTCAGTGTGGCTGGAACAGAGTTGGGAGTGTAGGTTAGGCCAGAAAGACTACCTGTTTAATTATTAAGTCACAGGTATTCTTTATTTACACTGAAGAGGATTCTAGTTCTGATCCCCCCATTTTACAAGTGAGGAAACAGGTGCAGAGAGAAAGTTGTTAAATCACTAAGGTCACACATCTGGGATTGGGGGTAGATAGATGCTGAGACAAGGTGTGCAATGGAGACAGCTCTGCAGACAGAGGGAACAGCAAAAAGCTTGGAGATGGAACTAATTTGGTTTTTCAGGAGTGGGGCCTCACATGGTATGAGATGAGATGAGAATGGGGAGCCTCAAAAATTATCCTGTGTTCTGAGGGGCACCCTAACCTGGTACTTACTGGGTCACCTTTGAGTAAGGTGTTTAGCCTCCCTATGCCAAAGTTCCCTCAGTACCTATCTAGTAGGGTTATGGTGAGGATTAAATGAGTTCACCTATATAAAGCACTTTGCCTGGAACTCAGTAAATGTTAGCTACAATTAGCATTATCACTAATATATTCATTTACTGTAGTGAGGAAGAATGTCTTAATGGTTAATTGTGTGCACGAGGGGGTGTTTTTAGAGTAAAAAAGACCTGGATTCAACAATCACATAAGCTGATCCACTATTAAGAAGGCGGGAGGTGGTTAGGGAAGGCCACGACTGAGCCACCACAAGGAAAGGGGTGGGGGAATGACAGCACATAGGCTGACCCTCCCGGACGAGGGACTGCAAAGCACTGGACCCATGGGAAAGGAAGGGGTGTAAATGCAAGCACATGGGTAGCAGAAAGGCCAATGAACAGATCCACTGCAGAAGTGGGGTTGTGGTGATGTAAAGGCTTATCTTATTGACTGGGCAAGGGGTGCAGAAAAGTACATTGAGTGCTGAATAATAGTGGAGGGGGAGAAAAGTCATCACACAGGAACTGATTAAAAGGACAGTGGGAGGAGACGATGGACTGGGCTACTGATTATGGGGAGATGTGAAGCACTAAAAGGACCCACTATTAAAAGGAAAGGAGAAGCCCAAAGACTGAGGGATTGACAGTCTACAAGAGAGGGAGGTTAGGGCAATAGGCTGATAACTAGGGGGATGTGTATACAAGCATATAATACAGACTGATTCACTGTAAAATGGTGTGCGCGCGCACGTGTGTGATAAAGCCATGGACTGATGAACTGGGGGATTGTAGGAGGACAGGGATGCAAATTCACAGATTAATTTACTGTTAAAGAGGAGTGGAGGAGGTACAACCCCAAGGATTGATTCACTACAACAAACCAGAGGTGGAACAAACAAGGTCACAGACGGGACCCCTGAAAGTTGAGGAGAGGAGAAACACTCAGACGACCTACTGCCAAAGAGTTGGAGAGTGCCAAAGACTGGTCCCCTATAAGTGGGGGGTGGGGGGCAAGACCATGGACGAGTCCACTGTAAAGTGAGGTGGGGAAATATATAAGCACGCAGACCGATCCACTATTAAACAGGAAGGGGGATTAGGCCACAGTCAGATCCATTACAAGTGGTGAACGGAGGGGACAATGCCACAGGCAGGTCCACTAGTGGTGGTGGCGGTGGGGAGTCGAACACCAGCAGGCCACGGGCCAAGCCACATCCCTCGCGCGGGGGCGGGAATAATACGTAGGGTCAAGGACCAAGCCCTCCACCCTCCAGGCCCCGGCTCACCTGTGTGTAGGGCAGCGGCAGTGTTGGCAGCTCCGGGGGGCGGGGGCTCCATGCGCGGCCCCACCGCCCCCCAGGCCCGGGCTCCGAGGCGGCGGTGGCGGCGGTGGCGGCGGTGCGGGCTGTGGCAGCGGCGGCGGCAGCGGCAACACCTAGAAGCCGCCCCTGCGTTTCCCCACAGCTCACGTGGGGCCGTGGAGGAGGTGCTGAGCGTTTCGCGGTTCGCTGATTGGCCAAGAGCCATAGATTGACCGCGACGTCCAGGGTTGGGGGGGCGGGCCCTTCCTCACAGAGCTATGCCTTGACTGGCCCGAGGGGAGCTGATGGAACGCAGATGGCGGGTTCCAAGGGGGCGTTCTCGGCCCCGGCGGTGCTACACGCTGATTGGCTCAAGAAAGACTGATAGACCGTGGGCAATTGACAGGGTTCTGGGGGCACCGGCCTCGCACAGATTAGCCTGTACGGAATTCACCGAAGACAACCTCGTAGGATTAGGGTGGGTGGGCGCTGCTTTTTGCTTATTGGAGGATGAGGGACTCCTAGACAGCTGCCAAAACACGAACAGGGCGGTGCTGCCCTCCACGCTGCTCAGCGGAAGCAGGACTTATATAGAAGTGGGCGTAGCAGCCTGCAGGAAAGGGGTCCGGGCAGGGCTCTGCGTAGGCGTGCAGAGTAACTCTATAATGATTGGCTAGAGAAGACGAATTTAGAACGGAGCAGAGGTAGGAGGGTAGAACAGCTGCCAGGCAAGCGAAGGAGCAGAGTGCGGAAACTAAATGCCGAGGGCAGGGTCGAGCTGCAGTCAGACTTATAAAGGGGTTGAACTTGGCTCTGCATTTATTGGATGTTGGACTCAACCTAGAATAGGGGCCAGACCAGGGAGGGCGGGATCTGGCTCTGTGCCCATTGGTAGAAGCTGGAACTATTTAGCAGTAGCGAGGCCAGTTTGGGCCGAGTTGGGCATGGGGTGTAATTTAAGGTACCTGAGGAATTATTAGGGTGTGGGAGAGGGATTAACCTTAGGGCCAGCAGTGAAAGGTTGAGTGCCTTGGGAACAAACCTCCACCCTGAATTGGCCCATTCTCTACAGTAATTAAAAGAGTGGTGTCCAAGAAAAGAAATGGAAGGGTCAGGTGGGGGCCCAGGTTGTCAAGGCAACAGAAGAGAGGACGGAGCAATGTCTAGTAGCAAATGCTGCCAAGTAACAGGCTGGAGGCAGGACTTCAACTTTAAAGGTTTCACACAGAGGCTGATCTCGGCCTCCTAGTAACTGTGCTTCATAAACGGCACATTAGCAAACAGTAGGGGTTAAGGGGAAAAAGAAGGGCCGTGTGACTCAAACAGGCATTCAGGCTCTTTAATGTTTGGAGAGGGGGGAAGAAGTCAATGGCGAGGCTCCTCTGGGATATTCTGCAGGCCTTGTAGTTCTCTAAGCCCCTGAAAAAGAGGATAGAAGAGAATGAACAGAGACTAGGTCCAGGCCCTGTCCCAGGCTTGCTCTAACCTCCCCTCCCTCAGAGCTACCCTAGGTCCAGTTTGGTTCCAGTTTAGAGGGACAGATGGACCTTCCAGTCTCTGGCCCTCTTCCTCAGGTCACCACCATAAATGCATTTGGGGACAGAGTCTGGGAGTGGGGCGAGCTGCTCTCACCTCTAGCAACATGTGGATATGGGCCTTGATATTCATTGAGTCCTTGGTGAGGCTGTCACTGAGCCTGGAGAAATGAAACAAGAAAGGGCAAAGTGGGCCCCATGATCATGAGGATGAGGCTTCCTCATCATTTCCAGACCGATCTATGTCCAGGATGACTTCCACACGGCAGGTGGCAGGACATACCACTATCTGACCTGCTCCTATGCAGAGATGCCTGGCCACCATCTGGACTGCGCTATTCAAAGACATTTACTGAATCCCTACTCTATGCCAGGTGGTTTTAGATACTTGGGGAGACAGCAGAAAACACAACAAACAAAAATCTTGGCCTCATGAAGCTCAAATTCTCATTGAGACGGACAAACGGTGGTATAAAATATAGAGTATGTCAGATGGTTCTAAGTATGGTGAAAAAAATTAGTAAGAGAGGATAAGGAGTACAAGAGTGGAGGCTGCAATTCTAATTAGGGTGCTTAGGGATGGCTTCACGGAGAAGTGTTTGAGTAAGGACTTAACATGAAGAAGTGGATCATCTGGATATGTGGAGAATGAGTGTTCCAGACCCAAGGGGCAGCAAATGCAAAAGTGCCGAGGTGAGGGTATACCTGGCGTGCTTGAGGCACAGCAGAGAGGCTGGTGTGGCTGGAGAAAATGAAATGAAAGTGGATTGTAGGAGGTGAGGTCAAAGAGGTAAGTAGGGGAGGCAGATCATGTAAAACCTACAAGGTCATGGTAAGGACTTTGGCTTTTACTGTAAGCGGGGTGGGAGCCAGGCTGTGATCACAGCAGGGATGTGAACTGACTAGGGTTTTAGCAGCTCCGCCTGGCTGCTCTTTGGAGAACTGACCGGGGATAAGGAGATCTGGTATGGATGCAGAAGTCCAGTGAGGGAGCTCCTGCAATAGTCAGGTGAGAGTTGGAGACTCAGGCCATAGTAGCAGTAGTTGAGGTGATGAGCGATCATTGGATTTGGGATATATTTTGAAGGTACAGTCAACAGGATTTACCAAACTGTTAAATGTAGGGTGTAAGAGAGAGGGCTCAAGAAAGGCCTAAGCAAATGGGAAGCTGGAGTTGCCTGTAACCACTCTGGACCTGGAATGCTGAGTTCCATAAACCAGTCTCACCCAAAAGAATCCTCATTGACACAAAGGGTCAAGGGAGGCTTTCCTGAAGAATGAAGAATAAGTAAGAGTAAAACGGGAGGAAGGTCTTTTCCACAAGAAGGCCAAGAGGCAGGAAAGACTTTTTTGAGGAGCAGTCAGGCCAGAGTACTAAAAAATTAAGTGAACGATGGAAGAAAATCGGTATAAGGTAAGGTCCAAGAAGTAGGGAGGGGCTAGATCAGGCAGGATATTGATATGATAAGGAATGTGGATTGTACTGAGTTATCTGTAAATGATAGAGTCCATTTTAGGCAAATTAAATACTGTGAAAAATTAGAAGGCAACAACACAGGATGACAAATTAGAAAAAAAAAGAGTATGAACCTATTTATATATCAGTATCTCCCAAACTTATATTTTCAGTCCAGACCTCTCTCCTAACTCCAGCCTTGGGAGTTTTAACTACAGCTCCAAACCTCAACTTCAATGTTTAACAAGCCCCTCACACTTAACACATCCTAGATTGAACTCCTGATCTTCCCCGCCAAATCTGCCCCCTGCCATCTTCTCCATATCAGATAATGACAACTCCATCCTTCCAGTTGTTCAGCCAAAACCCTGGACTCCTCTTTCTCTCACACCCCACATCCAATCAAGCACTCTATTTAAAACTGTGACTGCAATTTTTTTCTTATCTGCATTCCATGCTGTTGTCCGTAGCACTGCCAACCTGTGACACACTACATCATTTACTTGGTTTTTTTCTTTTTTTGGTCTGCCTCCCCTGACCAGAATGTAAACCAACTATGTAAGATTTGGCAGAGATTTGGTCTGCTTTATTCCCTGCTGTATCCCCAGGAACCAAAACGGTGTGTGGCACAAAGTAAGCACCCAATGTATGTTGAAGGAGTTAGTGAATGACTACTCCACGCAAAGGAATCTGAAGTCCTCAAAAGATGGGAGTCTATGTTTAAGAACAATAAATGGAGGATGGTGTTGTTGCCAGAAAGCAAGAACGCTTTCAAGAATATGTACGGTAGTGGTCAAAGAACAGAGGAATGACCTTGATCAGCTTGATCACTTGACCAGGGACAATTTGAACATCAGAGAACAAAATTATTAATGGTACAAGCTTAGTCTATGAAAGGCTATGAGTTCAACACTTAAAAAAGGATACAGTCACCAAATGCTAGTTGTAACACAAAAGGGATATATTTAATTTACTGCTGATTTAATATGTAAGACAATGTTAACAGTCATGGTTATTCTGCTCCTTCTATAATGACATGTCTGTTATGGGTGTGAATGTGTACTCCCTTCTGTGTAATCAGAAAAGAATATACAAAGAGACCTGCTCCTCCCACTCCCCAAACAAAGAAATATACTAAAACAGGAAGGACTAACAGGCCATTTTGACTACATAAAATAACCTGACAAAAAGTTCGAAGTTTGCCATAAGTAACCAAGCATTTTAAAGTAGGGAGTAAGCTACACAGGCTCAAATCCTCATTTCTAGGGAGTCCTACTAATTATAGTTAAGTGACAAGAGACTCAGCATTTCTCATCACACTGATAGAGCATGCCAGTTATCAAAAAGACCAGACAAGGGAGCAGGCACTAACAACCTAAATACCTCATTTTGGGAATGACATCAAGTCTCATAAAATTACAATCTATTTGTAAAGTTCATGAATCCTTTGCTATAACAAGAAAAGCTTTGTTATAAGAAATGGTCTTGGTCTAAATGACTACCAGTTCAGAATTGTGTTGGGCTGCGAGAGCAGACCCCTCAACCAAAATGTTCACCAACCGGTCTGATCACTAAGATTTAGAAATCTCAGGTGGTCTGAGGCTCTTTTTGGTCTACTAACACTGAAACCCTGGAAAGGCTTGAAAAGAGAAGTGCTGGAACCCTACAGGAGGCAAGTCCGGAAGAAATGTAGAAATAAAGATAAATATAACCCAGATGGAATTTTAGATCAGTTGTATTCACTTTAGTGAGGTGGTGTTAATCCCAGTATATTGCTCAGCGCCCCTTCACTGGCTCCACCTGAGCATGCTTGTATCTCCTGGCAGTTCCTCTAACTTCATAGGGACAGAGAGCCCTTGCCAGGAACGTTCTTCCCCAGACAGTCTCCTGTCTTATTCACTCAACCAAATAACTCAAATGTCACTTCCTCTGAGAGGCCTTCCCTAGCTACATCTCAAACTTCTCATCCACACTCCCGATTCCCCTTCCCTGCATGAAACCTTAAAAGCAAGCAGAGCCCATACTTTCTTATCACATTACCTCCCCATCACCACCAACAGAGATCTGCTTCAATCCCCATTTCAACCTGTTTCCATCACACACTTTTAAATTCATTCAACAAACATGAATGCCTACTGTATGCCTGGGGTATAGACAAAATACCTCCCTTTGTAAACTTTATATCCCAATGGGAGGAGGCAACGAACATTAGAAAGAAGTAAACATTAGAAGGTCATGAGTGCTAGGGAAAAAAAAAGTAGAACAAGGGAAGGGAATCAAGAGTGCCAGCGGTTGCAATTTTCAAGTTAGGTCACAGAAGACATTATTGAGAAAGTGACGTTTAAGCAAGACTTACACTGAGTGAGGAGAAAGGAGCCATGCAGGTACCTGGGAAAGAGTACTGCAGGCAGAGAGAACAGCCACTGCAATCACCCTGAAGTGGGATCATTCTGGGGTGTTTAAAGAAGCCTGTGCAGGTCAGTGTGGTGAGAGTACTAAATGAGCAAAAAAAAAAAAGAAATTAGCAGGAGGTGAAGTCAGAGGAAACTTGTTTTATTGTTAGTGACTTATAGGCTGAGACCCCACAGATCTGGTCAAAATTGTGGTCATGTGTAACAGTATAGTTCTTCTAGAATGTAAGCCTTCAAGAAGCCCTTCTGCCTTGTTCACTGCTGCCTCCCCACTATCAAGCGCAGAGTCTGGCATACAGCAGATACCCAATAAATGTTTATATGAATGAGAAATATTGGGTTGGCCAAAATGATCACTTGGTTTTTTCCATAATATGGTTCTAGTCATGCTTAGTTGTCTTTAACTTCATTCAAAACAATTTTGTTAGACTGTATTGTGACAGCTGTCATATCAGCGTGCATTTAAAAAAAAACATCAAAATGGGTGAATTTTTGTGCAGCCATTTTAATATGGAAGATGGAAGAAAATATACAATGTTTTTGCATATTAGTCTTTATTATCTCAGGAAAGGTAAAAACACAACTGAAACACAAAAAACGATTTGTGCATGTATGGAGAAGGTGATGTAACTGATCGAACATGTCAAAAGTGGTTTGTGAAGTTTCTTCCTAGAAGTTTCTCGCTGGATGATGCTCCATAGTCAGGGAGAACAGTTGAAGTTGATAGCGATCAAATTGAGACATTAATTGAGAACAATCAAGGTTATACCATGTGGGAGATAGCCAACATACTCAAAATATCCAAATCAATAAAGTTATCGGTGAAAATGAAAAATGTGTCTTTTATTTTACATAAAAAAACTAAAAACTGACTTTTTGGCCAACCCAATACAAAGACCATTGAGTGCTTAGCATGTGCTACACCTGGGGCTGAGCTTTCCATCCCTACTTTTTTTTAAAATTTTTTTATTGTTCAAATACATTTGTCTCCATTTTCCTGCCACCACTTTCCCCTGCCCCAACCACCCCCACCTCCCTCCCTCAATCCTTCCCCACTTTGGCTTTGTCCATGGGTCCTTTATACATGTTCCTTGATTTGACCCTTCCTCTTCCTTTCCCCATCACCCCCATAACTCCTTCCCTCTCGTTATTGTCGGTTTCTGCATCCCTACTTTCCTCAGCTCTAGCTCTGAGGAGGGGAGATGGGTCTCTAGGTATCCCAGGAAGTCATGGGGAAAAGGAGAGGGGTGTTGCAAATGGTGGTGTTTTTAGACACTGTCCTCATGGAATAGACTTACTCTGTGAGGAGATTGCTCTTACGATCAATAAACTTGAGAGCTTCTGCCAGTGTCAACTCCAGGAAAAAACCATATCCAAGGGCCACGTAGATCCGTGAAGTGTCTGGGCTAAGGAAACAGTGGTTAGAGAAAGTGGGGGAAGTTCTTATCCCTGTTTAGCATACCATACAGTTTACTTAAGATTTTCTTACTCCCCTTCTTTGCCTTCCCCAAACTGAAGCTCTGGGAAGGCAGAGAGTTTGTCCTATTTTATTCACTGTCACATCTCCAGCACCTAGCGTCGTGTCTGATGCATAGCAAATATTTTTTAAAAAATTGTTGAACAAAGGAAGGGGAAAGCTGAACCCTGTGGGCTTAGAGGGGTAGGCAGACACTCACACCACTGTGTCAACGAAGAAGTTACAGCCCAAATCCACCTGCATATATAATTCCGAGTGCTTAGCTTCCTGTGGGATCAGGGAAAAAGAGGCAGGAGTTAGTGGTCAACTTTTAGGTCAGGTGACAGGTTTTGGTCTGAGGTAATACCTCCTGTGCCCTTCCCTTGACCACACACATACAAAATGGTACCCAACCCTACCTGGAGACGCTCAATGACATTTCTCAGTTGAAGGTATTTGGACAGCTGCTCATACACCTTATCACGATGGTCCAGTACCTTTCTGGCAGGGCATGATGAGACAAGAGTAAAATGGTGACCAATGGGAAGCCCTGTCCTTATTGGAATACCTCATATCATGACCCTCTGAAACCCTCAAGTCACCGTGCCTTAAAGAGAGGTTTTAGTGTAGAAGTTAAGATTTGGACTCTAGGTCGGACTGCCTGGGTCTGAACTCAGGCTCTCCTTTTTACTAGCTGTGTGACATTGGTAGTAAATAACCTCTTTAGGATTTAATGTCCCCATCTATAAAGTATGGATGGCAAGTATTATCTCTTAGAGTGGTTAGATGGATTAAATGAGTGTTTAGTATAAAGTACTTAGAATAGTGCCTGTCAAGTAGTAAGCTCCATATATGTGTTATCTATTATTTATTAGTATTACATACTACTCCCAATGCCTCTCTCCAATCAGAATGTCTACTTCTCACCCTAGAAAAGTCCTCCATCCCTTTTTGGATGCCCTTAATTCTAGTTCCGAACAGTCTACTTCCTGCTCAGATTAATAATGATAGTAGTAATTTTCCATACTCTTTGACCCTCTCGTATCCACATTAAATCCTTTACAATAACGGAAACTCCAAACCACCGCAGGAGGAAGGTTTCATCAGTTTCCCCATTTCACAGATAAGGAAACTGAGGCACAGAGAGGGGAGGCAACGCACAATGTGTTCACACGGGTGTCTAAATAGCCAAAACCGGTTTTGACCCTGGGAAATCCGGCCTAAGAAAGCTAGCTCTTAACCCTTCAGCGACTTCAGAAACTGCGCATGAGCGCACAAACCCTCTATTAAGACGCCACGTCCGGGTCTAGTTGCACCCCGAATGTCACACCTCCTTCCCTCTCGAATGGGGCGTAAGGCCGGGATCCAATGCCTTGCCCACCAATCAGAAGGCTAGAACCTGACTCCCACCGCCCAGCTCACCACGTGAAACGTTCCTAACGCCCCGCCCCAGGAGCTGTCACTCACTGCAGGTCCCGCTGCAGCACGTCAGAGATGAAGGCCTCATAGCGCAGCACTTTCTCCCCGGTGGCATCCAGCGCCCGCCGTTTAGGGGGCGTCGCCATGATGGGCTCCTGAGGGATGGGGAGGGGGAAGACCACGTTGACCATTCAGTGTGGCCTCATGCACAGTATATATGCACCCTCTAACAATTGGGAGTGGGCACGTCCGGCTAACGTTTGGGGGCTGGTGATCCGCCGTCTTCCCCTTTCAACTCCGGACCCTGCCACCCAGAGATACCCAAACGCAGCCCTCACCTTAGAGCCGCCGGCAGTAAGAACGGTGGGTAAGAACCACGGCTTCCGGGTGGCGCGGCTGAATGACGCACGATGAGGGCGCTGGCCAACCAAATAACCAAGTGGGAGGGGCGTTCCTGAAAGGCAGAAAACGCCAGAAGCGGAGAAGAGGAGGGCGGGGCTTTAAGGAATCCCACGAGATTGCGGAAGGCTGCAAAGCGTGGGAACGGGGATTGCGCGCACGGAAACTCTGGGGACTGTGCAGGGCTGGTGGGGGCGAGGTTTAATACGATTTGGCCGGTTCTGGGGCAGGCAGGACGAACAGGAGATAGAGAGTAAAAAGCATTTAGTATTTAGAAGCCAGACGTTTGGAAGCAGGAGAGCAGAAATTGTTCATAGTGCTGGTCTGTAAAAGGGGAGTACGTGCCTGTGTTCTATAGCTCTGGATTTGTATTTTTTTTACATGGGAATTTTGGCTTTGACTCTCGGTAATGGGAATGAATGTGAGCATTTTAAAAGTTTCAAACGGATACAACTTTTCAAAAATTCATCCTTGGTAATTCCAGTTATGCGGCTCAACGTGCGATTAGTTTTCAATTACCAGTGTTTGCAGGCACAGAAAAACAATAAATAAAATCCATAGATTACACAAACGAAAGAAATCTAGTTTAAAAACAACAGCTTTGCACTCTTCTAAAACCTTTTGTCTCAAAAGTTTGCAAATTGTACTGATCTCGGTTCCATCATCAGCTGAAAGTGAAATTCCTCAAGGAGAGGCAAGGAATGAAAAGGAGAGAAGATATTAATGCACATAGGTGTTGGAGCATGGGCAATTCTAGAGAGTGGGTGGGTGCTCAGTGGTCCGCTCCTAATTATAAAGAAGGCTGCCTTATTTCAGATAATTCTGCAAGAAGCAGCAGTCCAAAATAGCCCGCGCTAAAGCAGCCTGGAAATTCACAGTGGAGATCCCCAGCTTTGCTCACAATTCCTGGCTTCAGGAAAAGTAAATATCTATAGTCTGAGTAACTGATGTTGACTTTACCTCATTTGTTCACTCCGTAAGTATATTAAAAATATATATCATGCCCTAGCTGATGTGGCTCAGTGGACTGGGTGCTGGCCTGCGAACCAAGAGGTCGCTGGTCTGGTTCCGGATCGGACACATGCCTGGGTTGTGAGCCCCATCCCGAGTTGGGGAGCGGACAGGAGGCAACCACACAGGAATGTTTCACTCCCTCTCTTTCTTCCTCACTCCCCCCTTCTCTAAATATATATATAAAATAAACTGGCAGTTGGGCTGAATCCACCTGAGAGATGTGTTTTGTTTGGCTTAGATAGTGTAAAAGAAAAAAGTATTTTTAATTTGCCAACACTTAAAATGGAAAGATGAATTTAAATCATTTTTGCCGTGACTGGTGTGGCTCAGTGGATTGAGCAACGGCCTGAGAACCAAGCAGTTGCCGATTCAATTCCCAGTCAGGGCACATGCCTGGGTTGCCGGCCAGGTCGCCAATAGGGGGAACGCGAGTGGGAACCCCACATTGATGTTTCCCTCTCTTCCTCCCTTCCCCTATGTCTCAAAATAAAATAAATAAAATCTTCAAAAAAATTCTTTTATTTTTCAGTTACAATTGACATACAAAATTACATTAGTTTCAGGTGTATACCCCAATGATTAGACATTACATACTTAATGATCATCCCAATCAATAAATCTATTACCCATTTGACAGTATATGTAGTTATTAGAATATTATTGATTGTATCCCTATGCTGTACTTTACATCCCCATGACTATTTTGTAACAACCAATTTGTACTTCTTAATTCCTTCACCTTTTTCACCCATCCCTCCAACCCCCCCTACTATCTGGCAACCATCAAAATGTTCTCTGTATCTATGAGTGTGTTCTGCTTTATTTATTTTGTCTCTTTAGATTCATTTGTTGACAGATATGTATTTATTGCCTTTTTATTGTTCATCTTTTCTTCTTCTCTGCCTCCTTCTTCAAGGCCCTTTAACATTTCATGTAATACTGGTTTGGTAGTTATGAACCCTTTAGCTTTTACTTATTTTTTTGTTTAAGAAGCTCTTTATATGTTCTTGTATTCTAAATGATAGCTTTGCTGGGTAGTGTAATCTTGGTTGTAGGTCCTTCCTTTTCATTACTTTGAATATTTCTTGCTAATCCCTTCTTGCCTGCGAAGTTTCTGTTGAGAAATCAGCTGAGAGTCTTATGGAAGCTCCCTTGCAGGTGACTAAGAGCTTTTCTTTTGCTGTTTTTAAGATTCTCAGTCTTTAGCCTTTGGCATTTTATGGTGTGTCTTGGTGTGGGCCTCTTTCCATTCGTCTTGTTTGAGACTCTGCGCTTCCTGGACTTACATGTCTATTTCCTTTATGATGTTAGGGAAGTTTTAATCATTTTTTTGAATAAGTTTTCAATTCCTTTCTCTCTCCTCCTTCTGGCACCCTGATGATACAAATGTTGGTCTGCTTGAAGTTGTTTCAGAGGCTCCTCACACTATTTTCATTTTGGGGGGTTCCTTTCTCTTTTGCTGCTCTGACTGGGTGTTTTTTCTTCCTTAGGTTCCAAAGCACTGATTTAATTATCAGCTTCATCTACTCTACTGGTGATTCCCTGAAAATTACTCTTCATTTCAGTTTGTGTATCCTTCATTTCTGACTGGTTGTTTTTTATAGTTTCCATGTCCTTTTTTATGCTGTCGAAGTTCCCTCTAGGTGCAACTAATCTTCCCCCAAGATCAACATCCTTATGACCAGTGTTTCTTTGTCTCTTTTTCACATGTTACTTCTGTTTAATATTCTTTTCTTGCTTCTAGGAAAAAATTGTTTTTCTCCTTTACTATCCTTCATAGCAGATGAAATATTGCCTCCTTGCCATGGACTTCTGTGGTTACACATCGATGCACTCAATCAGATGTTTGCTTAAACGGTAGATCCCTGCAAGGTTGAGTTTCTTTATGTAAATAAAACCACAGAGATCTACTCTACAAGTTAGTAGCATAACTGCAGAGAAAGGAATTTTTAGGTGCTTACAACTTTACTGTGCATCACAGTTAGAGTATATCCTAAACAAAAAAATGAAAAAAAAAAACACCCTGCAAATATTTGAATCATTTTGAGTGATTATATTTTTGGTAGTAACATTAGTATTCTTATTTTGATTACAATTGCCTTATGGTATTGTTTGATATTAAGTAGTGTGATTTCTCCAACTTTGTTCTTCTTTCTCAGGATCGCTGTTGCTGTGTGGGGCCATTTTTGAAATATTTGTTCTATTTTTGTGAAATACATCATTGGAATCTTGATAGGAATTGCATTGAATCTATAGATTGATTTGGGTAGTATGGACATTTTAATGATGTTAATTGTTCCTATTCATGAACACAATATGTGTTTCCACTTATTTGTATCTTCCATTTCTATCTTCAGTGTCTTATCATTTTCCAAGTATAGGTCTTTTACACCCTTGGTTAGGTTTATTCCTAGGTATTTCATTCTTTTTGTAGCAATTGTGAATGGGATCGTTTTCTTAATTCCCCTTTCTATTAGTTTGTTATTGGCATATAAAAATGCAACTGACTTATGAATTTTAATTTTGTATCCTGCTACTTGGCTGAATTCATTTATCAGTTCAGTAGTTTCTTAGTGGAATCTTTGGGGTCCTCTATGCACATTATCATGTCATCTGCAAATAATGACAGTTTTACTTGTTCCTTCCCAATTTGTATGCCTTTTATTTCTTCTTCTTTTCTGATTGCTGTGGCTAGGACTTCTAGTACTATGTTGAATAAGAGAGGTGAAAGTGGACATCCCTGTCTTGTTCCTGATCTTAAGGGGAACACTTGCAGTTTTTGCCCATTGCGTATGATGCTGGCAGTGGGTTTGTCATACATGGCCTATATTATGTTTAGGTATGTTCCCTTTAATCCCACTTTGCTGAGAGTTTTCATCATAAATGGGTGCTGGATTTTATCAAATGCTTTTTCTTCATCTTTTGATATAATCATGTGATTTTTCTCCTTCATTTTGTCTATCTGGTGAATCACATTTATTGATCTGTAAATGTTGTCTCAACCTTGCATTCCTGGAATAAATCCTACTTGATCATGGTGTATGATCTTTTTTAAGCTTTGCTATATTTGGTTTGCTAATATTTTGTTGAGGATTTTAGTGTCTGTGTTCATCAGGTATTCTTATTTTGAGACTTCTGCATGTATTTGGTGGGGGATTGGGAGACTATTCAGCCTATAACACAGGAAGAAGATAGATTAGAATGTGTAAAAATATGTTAACCTAAATTTGAATCAGAAGTAGCAACATGACTCATGATGTCTTTTATGATTAAAAATACTTATTTTTCTAGCTCTGTGCACTAAAAAGTCTTAAAAGCAGTGGTCAATACAGTGGCAATGAGCAGTCCTACTGTATGGGTGGGGTCTATACAATACTCACTAAAAGCAGTCAGGACTCCTTTGCAAAATGACTGATTTTAGGACTATAGAAGAAAGTATACAAAATGATGTTGGAATATCTTGTCATTCCAGCTAGCAAGGAAACTTTCAAAGACTACTCTATACATGTTAAAAGAACTCAGAAACCAATTGAAGAAGCTTCCACTGGCAAAAGATGGGACAATTTGGACATCACCAGGGATACCTGGTGAGGGATTGAAGTACTTGAAATAAGTTCAAATCCAAGAGTTCATATAGAAACAAAATACTACTAGGCCACACATAGAAGTACTAGTAAACCACTTTGTTAATTTGAAATCTGCTTAAATAAAGGGAAAGAATCAAACATTTATTCTGCCTGTTTTATATGACCTGCAACTCAATGAATGTTTTTAAAAATAAAAGGGACCTTTTAATGAATGAAGAAGGCATGATAGAATTAGAATACCATTTTTTTTGCAAACTATTTTGAGTGAAAGTAGGCAATAACCACCAATTACTGATAAAATCACACACACAAAAAACATAGGCAATTTGACATTCCAACCTAATGGAAACACATTAGGCACATCGACAAAACATTGGATTGGAATCTTATTAACAG